TATGCAATGCATTCTCAACTGTTGTACATCAAAGCAGTTTCAGGGACTTGTACATTTATCTTGTCCATACACTTCATTTAAGAAGAAGCAGGAACAAATTAATCCATTCAGTTGTCTTTTTTACATGTCTTCCTCGGTAATAAAAAAGATTAAACAAATAAAACAAGTTACATGTACATGTGTATCAATTTAGAGGGTCTTTTTTAACAAGTTCACAATCCTTGTGATAAAGAAGTAAGGGGGGGTTTATTACTGAAAAGCTTTCATCAACTAATGAGTAGAAAAAAGTTGTAGAAACATTTACAATACATTTTTCTCGGGTTTTTCTTACTTTCCCAAAGATAACTGTATCAACTTAAATCTTTATTTCTGGATATCACCGCCCTGTCGTACAACTGAGATTGTGCTTTACAATTGCCGCTTTTCTAAAATTTCACCACCGAACCCACCAGTAGGTGGAGTTTGTGCTCCTCCAAGGTGTAACTGTCTCATCCCACCCAGCCTCCGGAGCCAGGCGTTTTCCTTCCCCCGGCCCCTGAAAAGCTGTTAGAGATACTATACTCACTCTCTATCAAATTTTCTGATTCAGAATTCCCTGAAATTTTATGTTTTCTGGCATATCGCTTTTGGTTTTAAAGTACTCTGGTGCCTTGACGTGTTTATATAGTGTATTCTGAAAGTTTTAGAGTATTTGTAAAAATATAAAGACTGATAAATACGATTACTCGTGTATTTCTCTATGTATACATAGATGTTCAGTGGTCAAATTCTGATACATAAATGTAAGTCTAGGTATACATATCTGATCTAAAAAGAACTACTATTTGTGCATTTTGCATACATCTATATACATATATGCACTGATACATACATGTGTGTATATATATACACAACGATACATGTGTATGTATGTGTGTGTGTATGAATGATCAAGCACATATACCTGACCTCCTGAAATTTCCATTTCATCCATATATTTACATATGCCTGTTTTCGGATTTCCGGGAAGCACAGGGTTCACTTCTGCAGCTGCTCTTCCTGTGCCCATTCGTGATGGCTGCAGTAGAAAAGGAGAGAACATGCCCTTTAGACAGTCTTTTACGTACCCAAAGATTATAACAATATCTCAAATGAACTTTGTGCAACTCCTTCCAGGAAATAGTTGTATAATATGCAAACTACGTCCAGTCTTTGTCTCTGGGGAAGATTTTAAGTCATGCTGTTGACATTAGGGTAAATTAAGTAAATTGACTTAGTATCATAACAATAAACCACTGTAAGTCCTGATAATCACGTAGACACAAGCTCATCTTACAGCACTATTGATAAACTAAGTAGGGGTTCACTTAAAATGTTCTCATAAATAAGACATTAACTTCCGCAGCTTTTGACAACTGGCTTTTGACATCTATCATTTCTGACATTTACTTAGTATATTGGAAATGCTTTCTTGCACACGAAGCCCATTCTGTATCGATTTCTGTTGAAGCTGCTGGCCAGGCTCCTTGCTGACCCAGAAACGGGTGGTTCTGAATGGATACACTACTGCTACCAGTACTACTATCCCTACTCTCTACACCTGCCACCACTGCTGATACTACTATCACTGCTGTGTGCCTCTAATACCCCCAGGTGAAGGAGCAACACTTCACTCAGATTTATGACGTGCACCTAGCAGCATGGATGCTTAACAACATAGAAAAAAATAATGTGCCTAGAATATCTGAGTTAGCAGTGGAAAGGAAATCTATTTCAGTTAGATATTAAAATCCAGTATTGAGCACATTTTAAAATACCCAAATAGTGTACAGGAAAATGATAACCATTTACTGCATCCTTGGATGCTATTTTCTCTCTTTAAAATATAAATAAACTATCTCTAAGTTCCCTCAGAGTGTTTTTAAGAGCTGTATTATTTATACTATTCACTGCTCACAGGGGTTTGCAACATTTTCACACCCTGTTATGTCTAAATTCCTTTAAGAACATAAATAGTGTCCTGGTTAAGTGTGATGAGGCTACTATCAGTGGTGAGAACTGGAGAAATTAATGCTTTGGTAGTAGGTCTGCTTCTCTCAGTATCTTGTATTGATGCGGTCTCAAACTTCACACCTATTTGCCTGCTAAGACTGGGCTGGAATTACATTTTAATCACAGTATGTAATTACCAGTCATTTTTTCAGGACCAGATAATAATGATTTAACGAAAACATTGCAAAATCTAAATCTGGCTAAATTGTTGTTCTTTTGTTTGCACGCAAAGAAATCTTTCATTTTCAAGCCCATTCTCATTTGATGTTGAAACAGTTTAGACACAGCTGTTTCCAGTCACACTCATCAAAAGCTGAAGAGATACGAGCAGTTAGAATTTTAAGAGATATTAACAGCTCTAGAGGAATTAAAAATACAGAGGCTTTGTTCTTCGGTATATCTATTAAACATTAAACCATGCATCTGCTGGTACACTGCACACTATTCTTAAAAATATTTATGCATCAGTCAGCACCTAACGAGGAATGCAATATGGTCTTCCCCCCAAAATTTCTGGTTTGCTGCCTGCTTCAGACACTCTGTGAGTAGGACACGTGCACCCCGCCAGATGGAAGGGGGAAAAGGCAACTGGTGTTCTTGAAGACTTGCTACGTACGTATGCTATACATACGCTGTGTATGTGCCTGACCCGGGCTTTCATGTTGACATTTTCCATAGTAAGGTTTTTGGTAGTGGAGAAACGGAGGGAAAGTTCGTCTGGCCATCTCCTTTGTGCCGCTGCTGGAAGGGAGGGCACGAGGCCACCATTAACTGGGAAAACCCAGGGAAACTTCTTCAGGTCACTGGCGCAGGGAGCACGGAAGTGCTCAGGGATGGAACGCACAGACAGAGCATGCTGCCCAGAAGAGTATCACCTTGTTTCCTTAAAATATGTTATTTCTACAGCCAAGGCAGTATATTCGTTTGTATTTTTGTCAAGGAGTGTGCCCTTAAGGTTTAGGTCTGACCTAAGCAAGGAAATTATTAGGATATAATGTAAGATTGTTGTTTCATGCAAGAAACTATTTGATCATTAGCTCTGTTATTTAAGCTTATAGAACAATAATTTCCATTGGTCTGCACCCTTGTGACATTTTTAGCCAGTGATGCCTGCTTGCAGGCTGGCCTCCAGTGTTTCTTTTATGTCTGTCATCTTAGGAAAACCAGCTTTCTATTAGAAAACATTAATGTATCACTTAAAAATGCAAAATGAGTGAAGTCTCTTTGACAAGCACGCTATCTGCAGGTGATGTGCCTTTTGAAAACGGCACTGAGAGAAGCAGCTGCTCTGCGTGGACACCCGTGCTGGCAGGGAGGTTTCACAGGCACGTGCTGACAGCAGCGGCATGGGAAGATCGAGGAATTTTGCCTATCATTCCCCAGGAAGAGCTCTACGTGACACCCAACCACCTGCCTCCTTCTCTCCATATCTTCCCCTGACTCTTTTCTTCCTTTTTCCCTCTCAGCACCTCTGGTTCCTCACCACAGCAGAGCTTGTCTGCCGGTCTGTTACCTCCGCAGGTCAGTCCCTGTCTTGGCTTCTCCCTCTCCTGGACTCTTTGTCAGAGCTTCAGAAACGCCCCAACACGGGGGTGCAGCCTGTTACTGTCACTAAACTTCATAAGAAAGTAATTCGTAAACTTCAAGAATTGGAAGAATTCTGCAGAATAATTGCCTTTTTTTTTTTTTTGCTTTACTATTATTTTAGGACTATCTCTATTTCTGCAGGTATTTACACAAGTAGCTTGAAGCATTGGAGCACTCCCATTCAGTAAGGCTATTCACCGGGCTAAAAACACTGTGTAGTTTGGAGTGGGCCCTCAGTTTGTCATCCTCTTACCATGACTAATCGAATCTTAGCTGAGGATTCCAAAACTTAATTACATGCAGCTGGGTTAGTTTGAGTTTTTTCCCCCTTAGCATTCCTTTATTATTTGGAGAAAAATTATTTGATTGCCAAACATTATTAAAAACTGTACTTCAATAAATTTCTCCCGTCCATCAAAAGCTGTATTTTTATTATCCCTCTAACTGTAGTTAAGGTACAGCTATTCTGGTACAGAGTAATAAAATTATACTTCAGAACTGCTATTTAAAAAAGCATGAAAGAGATATTATGTGTTTAAATTAACTCCTTGGCATAATAAGAATATATCTTTAAGTCTCCAAGAGCAGTTAACTTTGCTTTGGGTCTTATTGTTTATTCAGCTAATACATTCTCACACACTTTCATCCTGTACTGTTGCTTAATTTCAGTTTTGAAAGTTTCCTTTATTTAATCTGGGACTGCATTTCATTTACCTCTGAATAATCAAAACCTGCGAATCTTCACTGAAAAGCACACTGGTTATTTCTTGTGCAATGCCAGTAGTACCTGGAACTCCAAATAACCACAAGCTTAAATATTTGGAATTTTTTTTATGAAAATTGAAAGCTGAACTGTGAGGAAAAAATGACCAGGACTATGCTTTCAAATTCAGTAAATGTGACATTTCTTTAATACATTCCTAGTTCCAAATGCTTTCTCCTATGAAAAGGTCCCTTAAGAAAACCACTTTAGAAAAATCTAATTTGTGTTACAAATTCAAAAAGTTTTTTAAAAATGCCTTGAACTTGTCTTTCAAGCCCCAGTCTTTTGGGTGGTTTCACATAGCTGTCCTTCTAACAAAGATGTAGAATAAGGGTTACAGTGCAGAGAGAAACTCCAGAGCCAGCTTGCATCGGAATGAATGCACACCTCAGTACTCACATGTTTACCAGGCTAATGTCAAACAGTCCGCGAAGGATACATTCACACTGCCAGTTACGCTCACACTTACATCTAAATTTGAGCTGTAAATTGCAGACTGTGTAAACTCTTAAATCTCTTGCCTTTCTCAGGGCAGCTAGAACGCCAGGCGCTGGATGCTAGAGGAAAGCCAGCATCCCAGGCGAGATAGCACACAATGTACATTGTGGAGGCTTTGCAGAAACCCATGCAGTCAGCAGCGAAGACGTAGTGAAAACCAGCCTGAAAACACCCGTGGTTAAGCTGTTTGAACAGATGGAATTGCGCAAACACAATCAGGAGCAACACAGAAGCAGTTTAAAAACTCGTCGATTCCAGTGGATCAACTGGGCTGCATGGCCGTACCAATCTGGTCGCCACAGCAGCCGGCAGCTGATTGCACCTACCACTGACGACTTAGCTGCTCACCAGGGCAGGCCAGCCAGATATGGAGGATTTGTCACCGCCACCAAGTTTCTGTACGGTGACAAGGCAGTTTTAGATTACTGGAAAAGGCTACCCAAGAGAGGGGCTGTGAGCCCTGAGCTTTCGACGGCATTGGGACAGCTGGTGGAGGGGCTGCAGCTGCATTAAGACTGCTGCTGGCAGCTGCTTCTTGTGCAACGCTGTCATACTAGCAGAGACCTTATATTCTTAGGAAGAACATCTCAGTGAAGGCCAGTGTTTTGGAAATGGGCAGCTAAAAGGACTTACACAAACAGAAAGCAAGAAATACCTGGCCCGTTAAATCTGCTTCAGGTACCTCTGTTGTTCCAGCACATCTGCGTGCTGAGCTTTTACCAAAGCCTTGCAGCACCGATAAACTACAGAGATCATCACTATTTACTACAGACTCCTAACCTTTTGGCTTAATCTTTTCTATGATATCTGTGCTAGTAGCAATAGCCTAAAGCATTCCTTTTTCCTTATTGTTTTACTTTCAGAGTAATGTTAGTCTTTTTAATCTCTCCTCACATGGAAATCTTACCTTTCCTCAGGCTGTTAAGCTGCAATGGCTCAGATGATACTACCATAATTTTGTTAGTTTTTTTTTTTTATCAAGGTGATCAAAAGTATTTATAAAGAAATATTCCTTTACTTACTAGATAATATTCCGCTATTTGTCTGTGCTTTGCTGCAAACACTGCAGCACGTGGGTGGGACCCTAGGATCTCCCTTGGGGTCTCTCCCCCTGACTGCCCCAGCGTGCGAACTCTTCACTGGCGGCACGCTCGCTGGGGCCGGCGCTCTCCCGCACCTTCACCAGGTTATCATGCGCGTTAGATGCTACCGCTAATGGTGGATAGTGAAAAAAAAAATAATACAAGACTAGCTGTAGGCAAGCTGCAGGGTTGACAGATCTCAAACTTAAAAGCGTTAGAACATTCAATACCCTGCCTGAAGCCCTCGCTTCCATAGGCTAGGAGGGACTGGGGAATTTGCTTTCATCTGCAAGGCAGAAAAAAAGCTTCTAGTCTTTGTGGTTATGGAAGAAAGCCTGAAAATGTGACCCCACGACACCCTAGCAGCTCAAAAAGTTAATGGGGAATGTGAAGGCTTCAAACTTGTTTCTTAATCTCATGACTTGAGCATCTGACTCACGACTTTTGAACATTTCAGACTGGCCATGTCTGAGCTGCTGAGCAACCGCAGCCGTTCATCTCGGAAAGCGCAGGCCCGTTTCCCTGCGCTGCTGCCCGCAAAACTCTCCAGGGCAGCGCCGCGGCCACCGCCACCCGGGATGGGATGGGATGGGACACGAGCGACAGGACAAGGGGCAATGGGCACAAACTGAAGCACAGGAAGTTCCAGCTGAACACGAGGAAGAACTTCTTCCCTCTGAGGGTGACGGAGCACTGGAACAGGCTGCCCAGGGAGGTTGTGGAGTCTCCTTCTCTGGAGATATTCAAGACCCACCTGGACAAG